AGAAAGGGGAAGGCGAAAGGTGAAGGGAAGAGGGAGCTGCAGGGCGGCACTTTCTCATGCAGGTGACAGCCCAAGGTCATCCTCCCAGGCCCTTAGCTTCCAGTCCTGCTCCCCGGACCCCCTACCCACCTACCCACCTGGCCAGCAGCTGAGGCACAGTCAGTGAAGAGTTGCCAGGTGACGACGGCATGAGTATGGCTTAGTGCAAATGCAACGGAACATGCCCTGGGGACCACTGAACCATGGGGTTTGGGGAGAATGCTGCAGGCTCACGCAGCCAGGAAAGGCTTCAGAAGGAAAAGAAAGGGCCCATGGTCACAGTGAGCAGAGGCTTTCTTGGGTTGGGTGATGGGGCTGGCTTTATCCACGAGGCAAGGTCAGTCACCCTCAAGCAAAAGAACAGAAGAATATGGAGACATACACTTGAGCCTAAAATCTCCTGTGCTGAGAACCTTCCGAAGATTAAGTGCATCTGCTCCCATGCAGCAGAAATCCTGGATGATAAATCCGACAGCCCTTCCTCTGAACTCTGGGCAGGAATAGAGGAACAGAGGTCTCAATACAAGTCGGCAAGAGCATCACAAAACTCCCTAACTGGATGGAAAGTGAGTCAACGAACGTCTGGACACAGGAGCCATGTCAATTCTCCCTTGAGCTTCTAAACAGGCAGTGCTTTGCTGCAGGAACAGCAGTTAAGCCAGACCCCAGGGGCTGAGAAACACCAAGCAAGGCTGCCATGTAGGGGAACGTGACTTTTCCCAAGGGTCCCCTGGCTTAAACTCTTGACACTTTCATACAATGGCACTTTGTGCAGTTACTTCATATATTCATCCCTGGCAGTCCGGTGGTTAAGACTCCCCACTTCCACTGCCAGGGGCACGGGTTCAATCCCTGCTTAGGGAACTAAGATCCTGCATGGTGCATGGCACAGCCAAAAAAAAAAAAAAAAAGAGGACTTCTGAGAGAAACATTTACTTGAGACAACAGAAATTAAGCTTGTGGCACCATTACCAAGCCTGATGAGTGGTTCCAAAAGATGAACACGGTTTTTAAAGAGCAGTGCGTTACTCTGAGCATGGCTACAGCAGCCCAGCAAACGTTGCTCTTATGGGCTGAATTGTGTCCCCCCCCCTTAAATTCATATGTTGATGTCTTAATGCCCAGTATCTCAGAATGTGACTGTTTTTGGAGATAAGACCTAAAAGAAGTAAGTTAGTTAAAATGAGGCCAATAAGGTGAGCCCTAATCCAACCTGACTGGTGTCCTTATAAGAAGAAAAGATTAGAACACAGAGAGACATGGGTGGCACATGCATAGCGGGCATGACCATGTGAAGAGACAGGAAGACAGCAGCTGTCTGCAAGCCAAGGAGAGGCCTCAGGAAACCAAACCTGCCGTTACCTTGGCCTTGGACTCCCAGGACCGTGAGAAAATAGATTTCTGTTGTTTAAGTCACCTGGTCTATGGTATTTTGTTACGGCGGCCTGAGCAGATTAATACAGTTGCCTAAGCCAAGAAAGGCCTTCCTGGAGATGCTGAAATCAGGGGGACCGCTGACAGACGCGCCCAGGAACCCTCTGACAAGGCTCAATACTGACTACTCCTCGAGCCCTGGTGCTCCTCAAGGGCACCCTGCCCCGAGCACTGTTGGCAGGCACCTTCCCTTAAGCAAAGACAGCCAATCTTGCTTCCAAGCTTTCCTAATCCTTTGATAAGAAACCACAAGGCCAGGCACCTAATGAGCACTCAGGAAATGGAGGTGATGTCTACTCACTGTTCAGCCACGTTTGGGTCAAGAGAATCAGTTTCGGTGGGTGTTTCAGGCAAGGAGGAGCCGGACTCCTGTATCTGGCACAACTCCTCATCTGTGATGATGTCAAACACGGCATCATCTGGCGGCCGGCAGTCTGTATTAGCACCTGGGGTGCAGAGGCAGGTCGGGAGAGAAGAGAAATGCACAGTCATGGACAGTATGGGGAGGGAGTGCAGCTACATGGGACGAGCCCCCAGGACACACTCTAAGTGCTCACTCAACCAACAGCTACTCTGTCCAGATGGAGAGAAATGGCTCTTGGGATGTTCCACAAAAGCAGATGAGGGGACTACAGATGAAACTGAATGCACCACGTAAGAGATTTCTCTGAAGTCCCTTAGGCAGTGGTGTGGAGAGGTTTTAAGCTCTTACATGTTCTCTGAGGCCCTTTACTTAGAAGGAAAAAACCCTATCAAAACCTTATCAGGAAAGAACCTAACAAAAAGGTAATCACACTTCTGTGCTGCTGAATCCTTGCTCCAGCAGACACAGACCTCACTCATGCCTCTTTGAGAGGAGGATTCTGTTTGACCTGTATTTTCACCTCAATCCACTGGGGATGGAAAAGAACCTCCCTCTGCACAGCAGCCATTGTGCTTCTGACCAGGGGACTTGTGCCCAACTTTGCAGGCTACCCAGTAGGAAGGATGCTGTGCGACGCTGCTGTGCTAGTCACCCCCAACCCCGCCAACAAGCAGTCTCTTGCATGTGATGGAAAATGTGATGGCAGGCCTGAGACGGAAGAAGAAAAGACAGAAAGTAAGACAGACAGACAGAGGAGGAGACAGGAAACGTCAGAAATCAAAACAAGCAACCTCAGCATGCTGGCACCATGCCACCCTCTGTCGTCACTGGAACACCCACTAGTGAGCCAGGCGAGGGGAAGATTCAGCAAGAAGAACAGTTCATGGGAGTTACAAGTTCCCAGCAGGCCCCGCTGCATGGCTCCTGGGACAGGCCGTGCTCTAGAACAGACACCCACAGTCCAGTCCTGAGAGGGTAGCCTAGGCTGGTCTGCAAGGCTGTGCTGAGCAGAAGCAGCAGGAACCAAATCCCGCTTCCTTTTACTGAGCTGAGTGAGAGGACGTGAAGGAGAATATATCCTTCTTGGCCGCTGAGAGAGAATGTGAGCTACAGGGAGACAGGGAAGGATGTGCTCGTTTCCACACTCAAGTCCTGGCCTTTGGTTACCCCGAAAGAGAGGGCTGGATATGGGGCTGGGGCCCTGGGAGACAGCGTTTTCCAAAGCTGTGGGTCCACTGGTGGTATGTGAGTTGAGAAGTAAACAGACACCACGTTAAATAACACTGAATCACATCAGGAGAAAGCTATTCCCTTTTCAATTCTCCTTCAATCCTAATTACATCAAAAAGAAAGTCTCAGATTGGTGATACCTTTTTAGTGCCTAAGTTTGGAAAACACTGAACTAAGCATGTTCCAGCTAAGCAGCCACAGTGGGGTAGCGGTGAGGGTGGCACCTGGAGAACACCGAGGGCAGGGGCGGAGCCTGACCTTGGCCTCCGGTGGCCTGGGGTGCGGCCTGGGCTGGTGACCGGGCGGGGCTGGGCTCTCCCTGGCTGGTGCCCGAGCTGGTGCTGTCGGGGGACTCGGGGCCCTCGCTCAGCTTCTGGAAGCAGGCCTGGCAGCAGCGCTCCTTCTTGCCGCTGTGCTTGCTCACAGCGTAGTTGTTGCAGCAGTAGTAACAGAAGATGTGGCCGCATATCCTGGGGACGACACAGGCACGGGCCCTGAGGACGCTGCACTAGAGGTCTCGAGTGACCTGCTCGGGACCGGAACCGGGCTCTGTTCTGGGCTCTGGACGCCACATGGATCGTCAGACCTGGCTCTGCCCCCACTCTAGAGTGGGGCCTGAAGGCCTATCTCATAAGATTCCAAGAAAGCCATCTTGGTAAGCCTGATGGGAGCCACTTGTACTTCCTAGGGTCCTGGGAGGCAGGCCGAGCCCCCTTCCCTGATGCAACGATGCAGGCGTGCATTCTAGGCCTCGGGGGCTGGGTTTTTTTTTTTTTTTTGTAGGCCTCTCACTGTTGTGGCCTCTCCCGTTGCGGAGCACAGGCTCTGGATGCGCAGGCTCAGCGGCCATGGCTCACGGGCCTATCCGTGGCATGTGGGATCTTCCCGCACCGGGGCACGAACCCGTGTCCCCTGCATCGGCAGGCGGACTCTCAACCACTGCGCCACCAGGGAAGCCCTGGG